GAATGATAGGAAAAATATTAATTTTAGCTTTTATTGGATTCAAGTCCTTGGTGAGAATTCCAAAGATGTACTCATATTCAACTAACAAATTATACTTTTATTTTGGTGCCATTCAGAAGCTCAAGTCATTTTCTAGAGCCCTTGGAGAAACACATAGGAAAGAACTCCTTCCTTTACACTCTGAGCCGGCGACCCTGCAGCTCACTGCTGGATAACACGGTGCGGCACAAGGGAAGTCGCTCAGGGCCGTGAAGGAAACACTGTCTGCCGCTCCCATGAGCATGAGGAAGTGAAAGAAGCCTCTCCGAGCTTTGTCAGCCAAGGGGAGAACAGAAAGGCCACACCCAGAGTACTGCTCCTGCAGAACGCCCTCTGCAAAGGCGACTGCTTCATCTGCTCAGTGTTCTCTGCACACTTCGGCACGCTTATTCAGTTTATTAAATAACACAGATGTTTCAGAAGGAGAAATAAGCAGCTGACCCCTTGAGGGGCATGACTAATGGGCCATTATGACAGTAATTAAGGAGTAACCCCTTGCAGCCTGTAACAACTGACACTGCTACCACGCCTTGCTTAGGTTTTCTGTTAATTACATAAGATTGAAGTCTCTGATGAATTTCAGTTAAACCAAAGTAGGGCATCAAATAAAGAAAATGTGGGTGAAGACTGACTTGATAAAAATGCACACTGGCTGAACACATCGTTTTGTGGTCAAGGTTTAGTATTTCCTATTGGATTCTGACTGATTTATCACAGCTTCTTGGCAGACACACAGCCTTTAAAATCGCTTTCATATCAGCAGGCCCATCGAAAGTGGTGGAAAGGAACAAAAACAATGTCTAGCACCCGTAATTAAATTGGAAGGACAACAGGATACTCATTTTAAGAACTTATCCATCTCCCTTTATCCAGCGTCTTGAGGGTCGGGCTGAATCTGAGTATTCTTAGCTCCAGGATCACTGCAGAGCCGGGACCCAGCCGCCACTCAAATGATGATTCCCACATGGGTGAGAAAATGAATGGACCTGAGATACTGGGGAATGATGACTGACATAACGCAGGTATGACAGATTCTCATCTATCAAATCAGGTCAGGTAAGCAAAACAACACACTATTCTTGTGTCCAGTTTAGCTTTCAAACTTAACTTTTTCTATAAGAATAATCATCATTTTGAAAGACACTAGCTTTAAAGTTGGAAAACATAGACTTTACCAACATAACATTTTGTAATAAGAGAAAATTTGAAAAAGACAAAACATATTAGTACATTTCACACTACATTTAGAAGTTTAGACAAAGTTTGAAAATAAATTGCAGAACTAAGGCAATACAATGTAAATTTTTTTCTTTTCGTTCATAAACTTACCATTAATTAGATTAAATCCAGGGTACCCCAATTTGGGGCTACAGATGCAAGGTTTTTAGAAAATCTATTGTTTTTCAGCTGTGTTTTAAGGGGTCTAACTTTATAGACTTTTCTTTTTATTATATAACAAGGGCATTTTACAGTAACATGCTTAAACCATCGTAAAACTCTGCTGAGCATGAAATGACATAAAAGTTGCCAAAACAGTCCACTGGTTGGCAGGAACCAGCAGAATGTGAAATCTGTGTAGAGATGTAGAAATACGGAGTTATCCGAAAGTATGGTAGCAATGTTCAAAAGCGAAAGCCCCCTGGACCAGTAAGACCCCACCGTGCCACAGGGTCTCCTGAATATGCCTTTGGAATTCTCAACAGTGCCCTAAAAACAAGTTTAGGCAAAAGGCAAACTGGAATCAAGGATCAGTGTTTTTAGATGTAAAAAAAACAAAACAAAAAACAAAAAACCAATAAACGGAAATCCAGTCTTACTGCCTCTGGATGAGTGGCCAATAGAGCTGTAAGAACTAAAAATAACAGGGTTCAAATACAAGTACGGAAAAATCGAAGTGCTAGAAGTTGAAAGAAATCACACAACAGCTACTACACAGAACAGAACGGCTCCCAGGCTCAGAAGTGTTAAGACTCATTCTCAGATCTGACGCATGATAAAAGGGTCTCTGCAAGACCACAGCTACTTCTCAGAAAAGCACTGGGCAGAACACAGACCTGGTGAGGCTTTTCACAGCTGACCTGCGACACTGTCTTTCTGTTTAATACGGCATGAACTTAGACCTCTGTTCCTTCTTTTACAATACCGGCTTATAGTCTGCGCCTAATTACCGAGCAACTACCAATGTACAGGTACAATACTAAGGGTAAGAATTCCAAAATAGGTAATCTACCTTCTAGAAGAGAAATACATATATATGTAAGTATTTATGAGATAGTGAAGTAAGAGCTTACAGATACAAATACAAAATGCATAAGGAAACTATAGCAGAACACTGTTTTGTGTGGGAAGACAAGATTAACATTGAAATAAAGGTCTTGCATGTTTCAATAACTTCTATGCAAAACCCAATGATCAGATTAGTAATATAACATTACTAACATAAGTGGTGATTTAATATTATTGTTTCAACCTTCTGAATTTGTCATTTTTATGAGGCTGGTTAGTAAACAATTACTTTTATGACTCTAGTATAGCCTCTGAATATTTTAACTAAATACGGTTTTCAATTTTAATAATTTATGCACTTCCTGAATTTCTGAAGGTAAAGCTGAGAAATACTTCAGCATAAAAAAGAGAAACAGCAAATGTTAACAATTTATAAATATTATTGGACATAACCTCACATAAGATCACCAGATCAACATGAAAAATCACAAAATGAATCAGGAAATGATTAACAATAAGCAAGATTAATTACACTACTTGCAGAATACAGAAATACAGTATATGGAAAAAGTCACGGTGATCTGAAGGGCAAAGGGCAAATATTAATAATACAGCAACAGTAATTGAGCAGTAATTCAATGCCTTTACTATATAACGGACCTTTTGCAAATTGTTGGCAAACTTGATAAATAGAATACATAGCACTGCCTGAAATTTTTTATTTTTTAACAGAACAACTTTCTTCCAAAAAACATACATTTAAAAACATACACTTTCTCCAGTTTCACATTTAGCCATACTTTTGATGGGAACACCACTATGTGAAATCTGGAGGACAAGGTAAACAGATATTTTCTATAAGGCTTTAAAGAATAAATTTGACTAATTCAAGGTATCTGTCAAATAAGAGCTTCAGATTCTTAAACCCACTTGTCCTTAAACACTAAGCACATATTCAGTTATCACGTGAATTCTTGCAACATGTCTGCATGTGGACTCTCCAAGCCTGGAGCCTCCGGAAAACCACGGGAACATGAAGGGCCCGCACGGAGGCAGAGAGTCTGTACCACCGCATAATTCCGCTTTGCATCGGACACACAAACTTTCAGTTTCAGGACACCTATGAGGCTCACGCTACGCACTACAAGGCTGGGTCAAGCAAAGGGATGACAAATTAAATTTGGTCTCCTTGTTGAATTAGAATTGACCCTGAAATACTGAAGAGGTATCGAGTCAACCTAAGCAGTCTCTAACAGTCAGACAGTGACTGACTAAACTAACAGTCAGACGGTGACTGACTCAACATCTCTGTGTATCTTCCACCCATACATGTGAAACACATTTGCAGACAGGTAATTTTGTCTTCTACCAGCACGTCTAAATTTATCAAGTCATTTTTAAAAAGGCACCGCTGAGTATGCAGAACCACCGCTGCTAACATAAACAGGAACTAAGGGTCTGTGTGCCATCAGCTATCTGAGGACGCCATACTGAGCCTCCTTCCTGAAATCTCTGTGTATTACCCAAAATCTAGCAACGCAAGGAAGGGATAACAGAAAACAAAGGCACGAATATCAAGGAACATGGAAGGCAAAGTCTGAAACAGGGCGTACTGGAGGAGAGAAGAGTGGGGTGTTAGCCTTCCTCAGGTAGAGCAGGTCTCTGGAAAGGCAAACCAATTACAGCTCATCCCCCGGTTCTGCCTCTTTTCTCCTCACCCATTTTTAAAAGAACTCTCTCCCCACTAAAAACACCCTTTTTAAAGACTATGACAATGTGGAAATCACTATATTTGATCATAAGTAACCAGCTCAGCAACCTGTCTGAAGCCGTCTGCCTCTCTGCAGGAGTCCAAGCCCATCTTTCCCCACATAAGGAAAAGGAACGATCAGGACTTGGGGCCTCAAGAATAAGGTAGGAATGTCAATTATGTTCTCAGACGTACGTCTTTGCAAAGGCTTAAAACTTCTTTGCTGTCTGCAGTACACAAACACACTGTTAGTTCTGGCACGACTGTGTTAATAAACAGGGGTCACACAGTGTGAACCCTCCAAATTATCCAGACTGGGAATTCTGGCCAAAGATCCATTTGGAATTCCCCAACTTGTATTTCCGAAAAGGAAATACAAGAAAGTCTTTGGGCATACAGGTTATTCTCCAGATCTTATAACGAAACATTCAATCAACTTATTTTTATTGAAAGCCTTCCTAAAGAAAGGAAGGGAGTTTGTTAGATTCAACTTCTGTAAGCTGGGAATTTAACACCTCTTTTCGTAGGAACTGTGGCAGGGAGATATTTCTCTCTGTCTCCTACTTGACCCCAGAAAACCACCGCAGACATATGGGAGAAAGAAGCCGCATCTCAGAAGAAAAGAGATTTGGCTGCAAACAGCAACATACGAGCTATCTATTACAGCTTGCTGTAATAGGGATCAGAGGCTGGCTGTAAGTAGAATGTGACTTAGTGCGTAATAGCTGCGTCATACCAAAATTAATGGCATTATGGAAGTAGGGCTGCTTGGGTAAAATTAAGGTATACATACCAAAGGAACAAAATATCAAACAGCAAGAACAACAAACTATATATAAACTCAAACATGAGGCCTTTTTAAGCAAACATTTCAAGTAAAGCACTTTTTAATATTAATTCCTGAAACATTAAGATGAAGAAAATTGAAAGCAATATTGAACGGGAAAATAAGGCACATAGGTTGGTACTTAAACCTCGGTCATACCTGCCAGGCAGTGAGGCAAGAGGTGCACATCAAGTGCCCGCAGGGCTCAATCTTGACATCCTTGTCATTTTCTGCACAGATTTTACAGAGCTGGAAGGTGGAGCCCATTTCACAATATAGTTCATATTGCTCCTGGAATATGGGGAGAAAACAAGGCAATGTTAATGTATTTCTACATAAACTGCTAATATTCAATTTTCTCCGGCACAGTGACTTACAGCAAATATTTTATACTTGATCCTGTCAGAACTATGTTACCATTTAAGACACGTTTTACATTGATAATCACAGTTTGGTCTACAAATAGCAGCAAATGTATAAGCTTTCAACACTTTGGATTATTTAATGTTTTATACTATTCCCTGAAGATGAGACTTGCTTCAGAAATCACGGGGATTCAGCAGACAAAACCTCTGATTGAAAATGGTAATATAAGTGAATTTATATTCTTTGTAATGCCACATGCTCATCTAATTCCACTGTGAAATAAAATGAAAATGTTCTTGCTGAACATGAATTTTATTTCTTAGGTATCTTCACAGATCCCACAATGGAGGATAAGCAGCATTTGTTCCCGGCACACACGCGCTGTGGCCACATTTATTATTTATGTTCTCTATAGCATAAAATATACTGGAGTTTTAAAAACTTACATGAGTCCCACTAAGTTTTCATTACTTTCTTCAAATTCTAGGTCTCAGAGGCTAATGTTCATGCACTGTCCCTGTCTGACACTGTTAAGAAAACTAATCAATCACTTCAGTGACCAAAAAGTGATTTATTAAGTTTCTGTTCCTTTGATTTACTGGCATTTTTAAACTTTAGAATGTTGGGTATAGTAAAATTCTCAGTGTGCAAAACTGGAAATACCTATGTCACAAAGGAGGTACAGATTATTAAATGCAAAAATATTTTATAAAATGCTGCTTATGAGGAATACAAAGTAAAGGAATCATGAAACTGAAATTTATGCATAAAGCAATGTTTTCGCCCAGTCAGTACTGACATTGAGTAGAAAAAATAAGTGACAGAATTTATCCCATAATCTACCAGAAGATACTACAATATTACAGTCCTGGAGCAAAGCACGTACACACACAGCATACACACACAGAAACTATACATACGCATACACATTTTATATACTATGATACATATCACTATATATATATAATTTTTAGGAAAATAAAGAAATAAGTATATGGATCAATAAGAAAGAACTAAAATCTGAAATAATTAACAATAAATAATCAAATGTTTAATTTCCTGAAATAGCATAATTATTTATAGTCTAGGACTATCCAAACAAGCTCATAATTATAAAAAATTCTAGTACAGTAAAATCACAGACACAGAACTTAATGTAACCTAAGGGATAAGAATATTAGTATTTTAAGATAATGACATTACTCCTGGAGATTTATTTTTAAACAGTAGCTTCATAAAGAGGAACTGTCTCTCATCAGTGATCTTTTATACATATTATAAAATCACTACATGAATTTTGAACATCATAATCATATATGACCTTTTTTCTTTTAACGAGGAAAGAAAACCCAAAAGTTTGAAAACAAGGTAACAGGAAGGTAACAATGGTTAAGCTACCCACAAACTGTGAATATAAATGTTGACAAATATGTTTCACTTAACACTATCAAGACAGGGACTGAAGCCAGAATAATTGCAAAGTAAATTATCTTCTGAAAAGAAAAATAAAATAAACTCTCTTTAGTTGTGTGGTTTTCCCTATGATTTTTATTATTTATTATGGAAAACCTGAACATATCTACAGTATAAGTTATTTTAAAAGTATACTGTCTGTTAAGTAAAATACTCAATTTCCTTTCATCCTCTCCTGCTTTCCCAATCCTTTTAACTTTCTCAGTAAAATGCAATTACCAGTCTGTTATTTTTGACATGTACGTGTTCAAATATGGTTTATGTTTGTTTGTTTGTTTGTTTGTTTATTTTGGGGGGTACTGGGAATCAAACTCAGGATTTTGTGTTTGCCGGGCAGGTGTTTGTGCTGCTGAGCTATATCCCTGGCCCCTCTTATGTTTATTTATAAACATTAGACTTATATACAAAATCAAACATTACATAATCAAGCTCCCTCTCTCTCTCTCTCTATATATATATACGTAGATATATATGTATATATGTGTTTTTTGAGAAGTTCCCCCGTGAATACATAGAGCTTCCTTCCTCTGGTTGATGATTTCCTGTGACCGCTGTGAGTACACGACGGTATTTAATCTCTTAGCGAATGTTTAGGTATTTTAGAACTTTTCACTTTTATCAGAAACACTCCGGTGAACACCCTACTGGACAGATCTTTGTGTGACTGTGTAAGTGATACAAGTATACAATTTAGAGTCAAGATGTTTTCTCTGGCTGGGTGTCATGGCACACACATGTAATCCCAGCTCTTGGGAGGCTGAGGCAGGAGTGTAGCTCTCAGTCTGAGGCCAGTTTGGGCTACAAAGTGAGTTCAAGGTCAACCTGAACTCCATAGTGAAACCCTATCTCAAAAAGAGAAAAACCAAACAAACAAAGATGTTATCAATATGTGTCTGTAGTTATTAAATATTAATCTACAAAAGGCCTCGCCAATTTATATTCTCATAATTTTGAGACTGCCAAAACCACATTTAAAAAAACACACCTACTATCTTCAATCATCTTTACTTACCCATTTGACTCTGAAAGCTAAGGCAAAAATTCTGCTAATCATTTTTGTAGTTTTCTAACCTAAGTCTTTCTTCTCACATCTGTCTACTTATAGATTCATCAATTTCTATATAAATGCCAATTTTATATTGCAAGCAAGAACATTAAGACCAGAATTTTCTATCCACAATATGTAATTTCTTTTCATCTTAGAATTCCTGAAGTTATCCTCTGTATGAAATACTTGTGCATGATTTATCTATAATTCAAGTAGATATTCTGATTTATTTCAAAGTTGTTATATACAATTAATCATATTTTCCAGAAATTGTCCTTACCTGTGTAACTTTTATGTGATCATGGGGTGTAGGTTCACATAATCCAGTTAAATCGGGATTATAACTCCTCCCATCAGGATAAAGATAACTGAATTTAAAAAAGAAACTTTATTACCTTTAATATACAACTTTTAATTCCATTTAGGGTCTATTTTATTAACTTAGGAAAAAAAATTGACATATACTATATGGGGATGGTATAATACACGGGGAAAAGATTAAATTCTATAAATATTAAAATAAAGACTAATAAACCGAAGCTGGTAAGTATACACATATATAATTTTTTTGTCTTTTTGAGACAGGGTCTCGCTATGCAGTTGAGGCTGGCCTTGAGCTCACTCTGTAGCCCAGGCTGGTCCGGAACACGCAACGATCCTCCTGCTTCAGCCTCCCGAGTGCTGGGATTACAGACGTGTGCCACCACGCCCAGCTATATTTCTTTTCATATGCTAAAATAACCATAAAAAAATTATCATGCAATGTTTTGTCATACCTCAAAAATATGTCAAAATTCTAGGAAAAATTAAAAAATAATTATAAAAAGGAAAACAAGGATGTTAAACCGTGCATGGTGGTGAACACCTAGAATCCCAGAACTCTTCCATGCAGAGGAAACAGGGTCAAAAATGCGACTCCAGCCTGAGCAATTTGAGAGACTGAGTGAGACTGTGTCAGAATGAAAAACAAAACGAGGTGGGGAAGCAGCTCAGTGCAAAGGCCTTGGGCTCAACCCCCAGCACTGAAAAGAGAGGAGGAGGAGGGATGGGGAGGGGAAGGGGAAGAAAAGGAAAAGAAAAGAAAAAAGAAAAAAATTTTAAAAAGAGAAAAGAAAATAAAGATGTTACAGAAAGGTGAACAATTTCTATTTAACTTATCAGGGGCCCACGGACGACAGCTGTCCCGGTTACCCAGGGTGCTGGGGACAGGCCACTGCCGGGGGCAAGAAGGGAGGCAGCAGTCTTTGCTGCTTACCAAGACCAACCGAGTTACCATCTCTACCACACAATACTGGGTTAAGTGTAAGGAAGTACGGCTGAAATTGGTCAGTCGGACCAGATGACCCTACAGTTCTACTGATCTGAAGAAACTACTGAACTTAACAAAGGTAATCTCTTTTATCCTCATCCGCTATGTAAATTCAGAATCAACCAGCCACCCCCTCTGAAGATGCCTCAGTCTGCGCATGTGCTGTGTGTGAGGAGGAACAGTTGTTTGGCCCAAGAGTTCAGAAGTTTTGTTACAACGATTATACTATAATTTAGTGTTTCTGACTGGCTTTTAAAACTAGATGAAAAGTGTAATAACAATACAAACAATGCAAAAATACTGCATTTACAGATTTATCTGCTCACACCTTTACAAAGTAAAACTTTATTTTTCTTAAAAACTAAAAAAACCTACAATTACAGTAAGTCAAACACTGCACATATAAATATTTAATACACTGAAATTAAGGTAAAACAAAAACAATTATAGCTAATTTATGAAAATTTAAAAATACACATTTGTATTTTCCCAAAACTTGACATACTTTCTATGTAATTTCCTGAAACGTTGTAGCTTTAAAAACATACACTGTTTCTTCACATAGACCCCACCGTATCTCTTTTTCTATCTTTCTCATTTTCTTTTAAATACTGCATTGGTGTGCGTCTGCAGTACGCAATGATTACACTCACGGCGGGGAGCGGAGTGACTCCTGTACCTAACACATCCTCACTCTTTCTTGTATCACTCCGCTCCCCTCACTCCTCCCTCCGGTATTCTGTTGGTCCTCTTCCCTTCTGCAAAAGAACCATCTCCCTGTTTCCTATTTCCTTGTTTTCTCCTTAATTTGGGTTTTTCATATTAAAAAACCCATATAACATGTAAGCCACGACAGTAGCACTTAGATTATCTGCTATTCACGAGCTCTGGTGGACAGTCTCCTGCTAGGTTCCTGTCATAACCCATGCCTGCACATCAGATTACCTGTATCTCTAAGCTCCTCAAGCAGCAGAGAGGTAAAGAGATCTTCAAAGGGTACTGCTGGGCAGGCTCTGCGGCGCACGCCTGTAGAGCTAGGGACTCAGAGGCCCAGGCAGGAGGACTGCAAGTTGCAGCACACCCTGAGCACTGAGCAAGACCCTGCCTCAAAGAATAAAAAGGGCTGCGGATGGAGCTCAGGGGAAGATCTAGATTCAATCCCTAGCACCGCCAAGAAGAAGTAAACTTTAAAAAAGGAAAAGAAAAAATGTAAGAGAGGAATTTGGATAGACTACTACTGCGAGCAAAGGAAGATATACGAAGATAAAGGGAGAGAAACGGAAGAATAAGAAAACATAAAAATGTAGCATTATCAGTCAAAATAAAAAGGAGCAATTGCATTATTTTAAAAGTTTTTACCCTCAACTTTTCTGAGAAGTACCAATTGATACAGTAATTTGTTGTGATGTATTCTGTATACCATATGATCAGTTTTAAATAGGCTACATTAAAATGACTAAAGAGATGGACAGTAAGAATTAAGCAACGTACACTTCCGAGTCCTAAGGTACGGACAAATTGCTGGCCTCGCTGCCTACTTTCCCCACCACCGGGCAGGCTCCACCTTCCCCGGGCGTGCACTGTACGCACACCCAACCCCATTTCGCATACTTACAAGCCTTCCCTGCTGCCATCGATCAGGGCCTGGAACAGAGGCTTGTTGTGAGGTATGGTCTGCAGGATGTTCCCGTCCGCAGTCACATAGCCAATGGCCCACTGCCCCAGGCGAGTGCAGCTTAGCCGGAAAATGTAGCTGGAAAGCACCGGAAAACAACTCAATCACATGCAGAGGGTGGGCCACACACGACCAAGTCTGCTAGGCTTTTTAAGGCAAAATGGGAAACAGAATCACTCGGAAGTCCTGATATAAACTTCAACCATGTTTTCAACACCATCACACTAGGTCACTGATCTGGAAAACAAAGACTGGTAATTTTCTCTCACTTATGCTTCTCCAGAGCTCTGTGAGAAAACACGTAAGCTGTAAACTATCACATGATTTATCATCACTATTAGGGACGCTGTGTGCCAAAATGCTGCAGATACGGAGCAGCCATGACATAAATCATTTTTTGGAAGTAAAAATATAACAAATGTGTAAAAATTTCATTTGTCCATCTCAGAAACTGAGCCAGTCTCTACAATGTGGTTCAATAAATTACTTTTAAATACTAAAATTATGCATTGTAATTGTTAAATAACTTATTTAAAAACAACATATTTTCTTTCAAGAATTTCAGTGATTTTTAATAAATCTCGAAAGAGGGGGACTATAGTAATGGAAATGCAAACTAGGTAAATTCGTATTTGCTACTTAACCCTGCCAACTAAGTACTGTACCCTCACTATTAAGCCAAAATTGTCCCAAACACACATGAAATGGAAGACAAACCCCATAAAATTAACCTCCAGTGAAAGGAGACATTGACTTGGCTTTACATGCATCATCATTTATCTATTCCTTTAGCTGTCTATTTCTGTTTAGATCATTTCTCTTTATTTAAGTGTATCATAATCTTGCCAACACTGATATCCACGTCTGGATTTTACAGCTCATTAAGTGGATCAAAAGTAAGTTAACTTAATCTGTTGGCTACAAGGGAGCCGCTATATGAATGTAAGAAATAACAGAGAAGGAAGTGAGTATCTCTCAATTTATGCTAGTTACTGACAAACAAGCACTATATAAAAGCTTTGCAAAATATAATTTAGCACATATAATGGCTATACAGTCGCCAGATTTAACTAACATGAATATTTAATATTACAATGTGATTTCACCCATCAGAAAATGAGTTTTTATAAGAATGGATAATTTGTGCTATTTTAATGTTAAGATCTTTTATAGGTAAATGGATGCACCTAGAGACCATACTCATAAGTGAAATACATTAGAATCACATATCATCTCCCTAGTGTAAGAACCTAAAAGAGTAAGTAAGATCTAAAATGTACAATAGATATTGTGAAAGGGAAAGAAACTGATCCAAAGGAAAGAACAACTGGGATGGGGAGAAGGAGAAAAGAAGGGAAAAGAAAAAATGTATATACACAAGATACCTAAGACAATTATACTACTAGAAGGGAAATACTAAAAGAAGGGAAAAGAAAATATATATATATACACAAGATACCTCAGACAATTATACAACTTCTTTGATGATAACAATATGAAATATGAAATATTATCTATATAAAGTAAAAATATAACCATTGTTAATTTCCTATCACCTTGTTTTGAAATTGTGTCATTTTTTTTCTTTAAAATAAAAAAATAAGATCTTCATAATGATGATAGAACCATCTTAAAGGACCTTCCAAGAAATCTAAAAACAGATTGCCCTAGAGAGCCTGAAAATAGAAATATTAGCGTGTTAGTTAGTGGCATCCTTAAATAGCATCAGAGAAAATAATTCTACACAGACACAGACGGAAGACTGATGTTATAAAAAGTGCTATAGGGGCTGGGGATTTAGCTCAGCGGCACAGCGCTTGCCTGGCAAGCACAAGGTCGTGAGTTCGATTCCTGGCACAGGAAAAAAAAAAAAAAAGTGCTATACAAATAGAAAGTCACTCTAAGTTGTAATTTAGAAAATCATTAACTTGTTACATTAAGAAATATATATGATACAATTCTTTTAAGTAAAAATGTCAAATACAGAAACCTTAAAAATATGTAGAATATGAAATGAAAATAAAAAAGATTGAAAATCTACATATTTAATATTTTAAAAGTAATTCCACATTTATTCATATAAAAAGAGCCTTATAAATACGGGAAGCATTCTCAGGAAATTGCTCAGTTTTTCACTGACGGCCTGTTCTGTTTTCTTAAACACTTTTAAAGTGATGCTCCTAAACAGACTGTCACATAGGAGGTCAGGGTCATGGGCGTCAGCAGCAATCTGACGCAGGTTAACAACACGGCTTTTTACAACAACCTGCTCTCGCGCACGTTGTTGTTACTCAGTTTCGTTTGCATAGCATTCTCTAGCATTTGCTGCTGAGCCTTCTGTTGGTAGCTACTTCTGAGCTTCAGGAAATCAATTTTTGCCTCATTTTTAGTACCTGGCTTTGCAAAAATGGCATAATTCACATAATCAGATGAACACATTTCATGTTGATGGGGCATTTTTAGTTCAAACCACCCTTTAACGCTAAGCTTTCTAACTGTGTTCGTGTGCAATTGTGTGTGTGTGTGTGTGTTGGCGGGGGGGTACTGAGGATCAAGCCCTATACCCCCAGCCCTCAAATATAATTTAAATATAATTATAACTCCACATTATAATTATAACTCCACAAATATAATTATAACTCCACATTAGTTGGAGAAGTGTCCTTGGAATAGATCTAAGTATTTTATTTATTCTGCAAATATTTTAAAAATTATTTGATTTTTTGTTCACAAAGTTTTCTTAAACATATTTTAAATTCTCCTATCACCCTTTACACATGTAAGTTACAACTACCCATTTCTTCTTTAATCAAAAACCTAATCATAAGAAATCCTTGAACAAAACAAAACAATCATCTAAGTGCCTGTCAACATACAAAACTCTCTTTCATCTAAACAGAACCTTTAACAGCAGCCTAATTATTTCCTGTACCACCAGCTTCTCTTTATAGACTATATTCTTTAAACAAATAGAATTTTCACTGTGACAGAGAAGAATCAAAACTACTGGTTTAAGTCTTAGAAAAGCATGACGGGATAAACATCAAATCTACTACAAATCAAATAAAAATGATCCTAAAAGCGCAAATTGGGCTTAAACAACAAATTCATTCTTAAAAGGAAACCACCTCTGCACGCAGGTCAGTGCACCGATGGACAGTGAAACGACCCTCTCCTGCCAAAATGGGACAGCTCTGAGCAGTCTCCACTGCCTCTTCTGCCGTACTCAGGACACTGGTCACATGATGTCGACGCCATCAAACGGCTACTACGACTACTTCTAGACGGGACACAGTAGGAAATGCAGATATCCAGGGAAGGGCAAGATTTCCTGCTCTTACATTTGTCGTTAATTAGGTGTGACCTCTCGGTCAAATCCGAAGGGCTAGCTAACTAAACCCTCCATTTCTGTGTGTCTCCATCTATTACATCATTTGCAAAATGAAACATTTTTTCAATCTGTAAGGTTTGAGGTGTTACAGAGTTGTTTGCAGGGACATGAAGTTGATTTGGATGGTAACAATGAGCTTGTATTTATGTGTTTGTATGTATTTATCACGTACAAGTACACATTTAAATGCATTTGTTCATGTGTATTTGTATTTATCACACAGCCTAAATGAATGTCTTGAAAATATCCCATGACAATATAAGTAAACCGATGCATTTCTCCTTAGCACAATATTCAAGTATTCAAATACACACACATAATGTACAAAAACACAGGAATTATAAAATAATCAATATAGGTTAATATCGTCCTCCAATGTGAAAAGCAGAACTCTAAGGGTGAATGAATCTTTAAGCTTATCACACTATACAGCAGCAGATCCCCTTGCAATTCCTGCACACTAACTTTCAGAATGAGCAGAATGCATGGATTTCCAGGTCCCAGTTTTGCCCTGTTGACTCCCTCACCCCCGCCACCCCTAGCAGAGTGACTGATCCCCTCAGACTGGAACCAGGGAAGACTCATCTTAAGTCCTCTGGGGAGCGCCGCTGCCGCGCCTTACCTCCCGGGTTTGGTGCTGTACTTCTGCAGGCGCGCCTTCACCTCGTCGTAAGTGAGAAACGCCATGTACCCAGGATGCGTCACAGCTAAGAAGTTCCAATTGCGGAGAATGGAGCCCCAAGGCTGAAAACGCAAATAGAGAGATTATCTAGATTTGACCAACCACTGATTACACACCAACTCATTATTTCATAAACAATGAAATTCTAGATACTTTCACAGTTAGTATGTATTTACACGGCTTGGGTTAACCTTTGTTAACAGCAAATATGCAACAGTTTGTTTTTTTCTAGAGAAATGTAATTAGGCAGGAAAAAGATTTCCTAGGAATAGAATATGAAGAGCAAAAAGGAAAACCTCATAATCTCCACATAGCCTATCTTAATAAAGCATTTGTGATCATTTTTAAACATAAACCACCATAATCTTTTTCTTCAAAACTTTCTAACTTTAAGTAAGAATGAAAGTCCTTGTAAACAGCCTCAGACGACTCCCAGGGGCCGGACGCAGTCCGATCTCAGTGACTTCCTGCCCCGACCTTCTTCCACTGCCTTCCACGTGCCGCTCCTCTCCCGCCACACGGGCTTCTCTGTCACGGGCCTGAACCCAGCACATGCGAGACCGCAGTCCTGTAGGTGCTGATTCTTCTACGAACTTTCCCCTTCCCGTGGCACGTGACTCCTTTCTCCAGTGTCCCTTCCTAAGCTACCTAGGGGCAAGGAGCACGACCGTCTTGCTCATCCACGGATACTGAGGCACAGAGTGTCACGCACACTGCCGTTGACCAGATCCCACCAACAGCGACTTTCATGTTTCCTCAAGGGAACGTGCAACCGTACTTTCTCCTGGTTTAGGCTTAAACAATTATACAATTAGGAAAGACTTTGGGTTTAAACATGAGTTATACAAAAGAAATTTCACAAAATACCTGGTTTGCATCAATCTCTCTTTAATCTGATTAGCTGTCCCTCTGGCTACCATGGCGAGGGAAAAAGGCAGTCCATGATAGACCACTTTGCTTGAGGGTGTGGGTGAATCGCCTGCAATTATTTTTCAGGCTGAGGCTACATTTTTTCCTAGGAATTGGCAGCACACTACTTCGAATATGCCAGATTCTTAACTCAAATCTTCTCCATGAAGGAAAAAAACAGGTCATTTATGTGGCCAAGTTAAATTGTTGAAAAAGATATCACAGGCTTCATTACTGATAGAGTTCCTGCTTTTGTTTGTTTTGAGACTTGTTCTCCATCATTGTAAATCAAGTTTCAAATTTACAAGGCAGAATACTTCAAGTATTATTTCCCTTGAGATGAGAATAACAAGGGAAAGAATGATTTGGTAATAAAGAGTCATTTAGCTTTTTCTGACATAACAAGAAAAATCTTTAGGGTATTTCCTCATCACACTAAAATATCTCATTGGGTTTAGAAGGAGATCCTGAGAATACTAACATGAGAGGTTCTATCTGCACTTGAAAAAAAGTGTACTTGTAATGTGCTCTTAAGGTACAACTAAAACTGACATAAAACACGGTTGGGGAAATGCATAGGTTTAAAAAAAACAACTAAGAAGTAGCTATTATTCCAGACATGTTCACTGCTTTGCTTCCTCATTTACAAAGGACAAGGGCAGATCCAACATCAAACAAATACTGGGGATACTTGTATGAAAGTCCACATGTATTAATGGAAGAACAGCTTTTCAAAATGCTACATTTCACACAGTTCAATGCATAGCTTAAAAAACAAGAGGAGAATCATGAAATTGGCACTTTAGAGCCAGCTGCTGCAGCATTAGCAACCATGTCTTGGTACACGATCCAGAGGGCCAGCTTTTAATTACAAAAATATTTATGTAATAGGGTGAGTCTGTGTGCTGTTTATTCATTGAATGCAACCCACTCGGAACAGTCACAAACACGTGTTACTGAAGAGTGTGTGCGTGTGTGTGTGTGAGTGTGCGTGCGTCTGTGTGTGAGTGTGCGTGTGTGTGTGTTTCCATTTAAAGTATCTTGCCAAGTAATGGGTTAAAGAAGGCAAAACAAAGTGTTGGGGATAATGCACTGAGCAAAGGAAACGTCTTCATAAACACGAATGGAAATTCACTTTAAATTTCTAAACAAATACAGAAATTAACGAAATGCATGAATTAGTCCACATGTCACTGTTTTCAAGAACCAGTTACTGACTTAAAACGTAGGTTAGAAGAGAAGCTGCAAGCAGCCTGCTGAGATACTCTTTATAAACTCTTTGCTGTAGCTGAGGACTTTCCTCTTTATTTGTTCTCCTTTCTCCATTAATGATCTGTATTTCATACTAACTAAGATGGTCCCCCAACATTCCTGCCTCACGCTGGCACCCCTCAAATGTAGTGCCCCATTTCTCAAGGACCCAGTCTTCCCTAATTGTGGGGAAAATAGGAGAAAGGAAATTGCTCCAAAGAAAGGGAAGGGAGAAGCCGAGTCCCTCTACTCCAAACCGGGACTTTAGTTCCCGCTTACCATAAACACCGTCAACCACCTGGAGAAGAAAGACAACGATGAAGGCAGAAGGAAGAGGATATGGGGAAGGTAATGCCTAACACACCAGGGTCCTTCTACATATCCCCAGTGTTCGCTCAGTTTCTAGCTAGGTATTAGGGCGAAGGACACACAGAAGAGGCTGCCTTCTTTCCTTCTCTGTTCCGTTCTCAACCTCATCCTAGTCTCTGCTGCCCCCTTCTTCAACCCCTGATGCTACTCCGTCTGCCTCAGAGCAAATGCTGAGTGGTCCTTACCCACTTTCAGATCCCACTCTGCCCCCCGCTGCCCCAGTAATCCAGAGCTACTAGCTCTAGTACCCGCTACACCAAAACAGCTCACATTCTTCATGGACTACGGAAACTGAAGGACAGAAAAAGTACAATAAATTGAGGAAAACACTGAATTTTTAAAGTCATGTAAAAACAGAAGATCACACTGTAAGGTACATACATGATTACTGCCAAAACATTTGAATAATTACACAAACCCAAGATAATAAAAAATGTCAAAGAATTTTTCAGCTCCTTCTATCATTGTGTGTTTTAAAAGAGATTAGGCACTTGGTCCAGTTAATATTTTGCCTTTAGTACTGAAATTTTTTACAGAAGCTCTGCTTCTAAAGATCCTTTCCCTTTTCCATTCCAGCAAACATAAATAAGATATATAAACTTTAGAGTATTAAAATTCCTTGGGCTGTTTTAAAGTGAAACAGTTTATAAGAAAATATGCACACATATTAAGATGCAGTTTGGGTAAGAATTTAACTAAAATTAAGCTGCCCCCATGCCTTAATATATTACTCTACAGCATTGCAGCATTTAATACCCATACTAAAAAGTCACTGAAGTTCCACACACAGAAAAAATTCTTCCTAAAATGAGCATTTAGGTTTAATGTGTGAAAATTGCTTGTGCCTGTTTTATTCTAAAGGTAAATTTATTTCTTGTATCATGTTAAAAAAAGGATGTGTTTATTCCGAAAAGTTTCTGAAAAACACTAAAGGAAGGAGAGCATCCACGGTAAAACAGTCGGTGTTGGGTAACACCAGTGTTTTCTAAAGTGTGCATCCGAAGCCAGGTGTGGCGGTGTACACCCTTCACCGGCACCCCGCGAGTGGGAGGCTGAGCCACAAGGGTCACAAATGAACGTCAGCTGGGACTACACAGCAAGACCCTCTTTCAGAAAGTAAGTGAAGAACATCAACAAACGAACAACGCACTTTAGAATCTTTAAAGAAAACAAGCCAGGCACGGTGCACACCTGCAAGCCCAACACTCCGGAGGGCCGAGGCGGGACGATAACAAATTCAAGCTCAGCCTGAGCTACTTGGTGAGACACTGTCTCAAAATAAGAAAGGAAGAAAGGAATCAAGAAAGCAAGGAATCAAGGAATTAAGGAAGCAAGGGACAGCAGGAGGGGAGGGGAGAAGGAGAGGCTAGAGGGAAAGAGGGAGGGAAGAGAAGGACAGAAAAACCGAAAGGAAGGAAGCTAGAATTTAGCTCAGTGCAAAGGTCCTGGTTTCAAGTCTCAGTAATAGAAAAACATTAAAACATAAACTGACAATTTATATGCACCAATGGAATAAACACGAAACTACTGTAAGTATAAAATAAGCAAAAGCACACTTTCTGCTGTAGTTTATCCAGCTAGTCACCCTACATATAATGTAGAATTATCATTTTAAAATTGTAATAAAGTAAACTGTACCCTATACATATTGTTGATAGAAGTCCTTTTATCTTCTATTAAAAAGTTCTTTAGCAAATTAGAAGCTAATCCAAAGTGTCCAATTTCTTTTCTTTTTTAAAAAACATAAATCAGTCACCCTATCCTTGCTGGCTAATGTCACAAGCAGAATCATATATCAGAGCATTCATGTAACACAGAAAACAAAACCAAAATTATACTGAAAATTTTGTTGTAAGTTTTAATCAGAATAAATTATACTACAGATTAAAATAATAAATTGCTTCAGAATACAAATAAACCTGGTATCTGATCAATTTATATCACTATAATTTATGTCATTAAATTAGAAAACTTTTAAGTTGGATTCGTCTATTTTCTGACTGTTTGAATTGAATCCAATAGATAATATGCATTTTAATGGAAAAAACAAACTCAAAACACAAATGTTAAGTATTCATGTCTAGAGTAATCCTATGAAGACATGCAAAAGAACAAAACAACAGTATCTCCATACAACACTATCTGGTATTGAACATCTATGTAAAACAATGATGGGGGATTGATTACAAGACAAAAACAATAAATCCAAATAAAAAAGCCCATCTCAAAATTGTTTATAGTAGGAAAAAAGCAGAAAGAATCTGAATGTTATAAAAGAAAGCTTTGTTACATTTCTACTGACATTTATATTGACATAATTTTAATGGTATATAGGACCTGATACCTGAAAAATTATGTTGATGAAGAGTATTTGAGAGGACAGAAGGGAAAGGACTGATAGATTAAACAAGTATAAAGCTTACCTGAAACAGCCTGGTAAAAATATCAAATTCAAATACTGAAATGTAATCATTGAAAGTTAAATCAATTGTTGACTTCAGAGCCATTGCTTCTAGGCCAGAGCTAATCTGATGGACCTCATGGAGGCACTGTCTGAACACTTTCCAGGGTACAATAGTTCTGCGTAAGGAAAAACAAAATTAATTATTGAATCAAATGTCACTGAACAGATACCTTCCATTGAAACACCACACTTGAATCATAAAATTAGCATAAATTACATTTGCAGTAAAAAATACTTGAGGATACTGTTCATAATTCAGATCACAGGTAATGTTAACTTTGTTATGTTCCATTTACCAAAAAAGTTAAAAGAAACAATTTCTCTCTTAAATAGACCTTGCTTGTCAAGGTATCTCTGCACATTTAGAAGAAGTATTAGGTCAAAGTTCTGTGCATCACGACGTCTTCATTTGCTCACACAGGGTTGTTTAACTACGGTTTAACATCAAGTTCTCTCTGTTTGAAGATAGTTATAAGAGGGTGGGTGCACAGAGCGGCAGCGACATTCAGTATTCACTGCACAAACGAGGCCTGTGTGTGCCGCTTTTCCATAAGTGTAAGGCGGAAAATCATAGACTTATCTGTCACCATCCTGATGTTTCTGCGGAGATGAAAAGCACATGTAACTTCCTCTCCATGCAACGGAAATCTCACTTTTAAGAAAGTAACTACAATTGCTATCTCATGGGAATTGATTTATTGATTAACAACTATTCATTAATTCATTCTTATTACTTATCTCATATCAAAAATGTTGGTAAGTAATGCATTCACATACTCGAAAAGTTTCAAAGCACACAGAATATTAGCCAGGAATTTCTATCTCCCAACCAAACCCCTAACTAATTTATTTTCTTTTTTCTTTTTTTGTACCAGGAATCAAACTCAGGACCTTGTGCTTTCCAGGCAGGCGCTGTGCCGCTGAGCTATCACCCAGCCCCTCACTAATTTCCAAGATTAACCCACCTTCCTCTCCCCGTGAACATGGTTAACAACCTTTGTACACTGCTCTGTGATGCTCCTAATCTCAAAAAGCCAAATGCCTATTGCTGGATCCATAGAATGAGGAAACCATTCAGATTTTTTAAAATGTAAATGGTAGTTTTCAAGAGTATATATACGAGTTAAATGCATTCTTAAAAGACAACATATATTTAAATCTTAAGTTTTTCTTTCCTATTGTCTCTTAAGACATAAAAGACTCAAGCAGAATGAACATTTTGCCTGGCCTCAAGGTAAACCAATCCTCCCAATGAAAAACTATCACTAAGTCTCTAATTTCATATTCACGACTACAGCAGTGGCTGTCAACCTTAGCGTCCATCTGAGTCACCTGAAGGGCTAACACAGAGACTGCCCATCGCCAACCCAAGACACTGGGGAGTCGGGGCTGAGAGGCGAGCTCTAACTGGTCCCAGGTGCTGCTGATGCGCTGGTACCCCTACTCTGAGACAGTGCAGGAACCTAAGACCCACCAACTGCTAAGGCAAGCCCTTTCAGGAAAGAGGGCTACAGAAACACAGGCACAGACCTTGCCTCTGTTCCTGAAGAACGCACGCTCGTGGGCAAGAGCTCAGACTTGCAGCGCTAGCAGAACGCAGCAAGGGAATCTGTAAGGAAGTCCTCCGTGATGGATGCCAGAGAAGGATCTATGGGAAACGGCATAAATAAACGACGAGACAGGCTTACAAAACGACATTACACTTCTAAAAAAATTAAGGTCTGATGTACCATTACAAAAACTATGAGGCTTAATGCCCCAAAAGGCTTTTCTCTATGTATGAAAAAAACAGGAAACCACAGAGCACTGAAGAGACACCACATCAGATGCCAGTTAGAAGAAACACACGTCAGACTCTGATTAAGGTTAACAAAACGCTGCTGCCGTAAAAGAACAAGGGAAATGCTTAATAGTATTAGAAAGCTACTGATTTAATGTGACGGATAAATATGCAACTATGTCCAGCCTTGTTACAGTGACCATGAAAGCAGTGCCTAAGAGGCACATTTTTCTTTTCCAAATTAAAGTTTCCAATAACCAACATACAAAAAGAACATAAACCATAGTGGGAAAAGAGTTGATCAAAGAACTGCTGATTCAAGGCTGGCGCAAATATTTTTTATATGGAAAGCCACAGAGCTCTGCTTTGTGTGTACTTGGTAGATGTTAAAACATGGTTAAATACACGAAAATATTATTATTCAATATTTAAGATGGGTGGAGATGACACCCGAGTACTCACTGACTTCCCAGACCACGTTATACAAAATGGATGGACTTCAACTGACAAACAGAAACCTTCCATCTCTCCAGCGCTTGTGTTAATGAGACTTTGTCACAGCTCAGTTGCCATAAACCTAAAGCCCACAGAGGCGTTCATTCACTGAAACCTCAATTAAGGGTGGCAATAAGGAACACAAGCTAGGGCATTACTTGGTTACCTTATCAGAAAACCTGATCAGATTTTCCCCGTTTGATCAGCTCAGCAGAACACCCTTGTGCAGGAGGGAAATTAGTGAGGGAGGGTGTTTCCCAGTGAAGGAAAGATGTCTCTAAAAACAAACAAAACAATAGATTGTTCTAAGGCTGTTGCACACAGGATCCAAACTTCCCAGGGAAAACTGGAAGTGGTGACCACTTTGTTTCCTGAATTGAGCGGGGAGGAGGGGACTGGGAGAGAATAAGTTTTCATGCTTTTAATGAAGCGGCAGCAAGAGGGTGGTATTTCTCACTACTTCTCGCCTTGGACATGAAGCCTGGCAGAGAATACATTAATGGCAAATTGATTTAAAACTTGTACAAATGTAAGTGTGGAGGCAATCTGGCAAAAGAAAACGGGGATGAATAGAAGAAGAATTAAATACTGAAAACTAAATGAGCCAACAAACTTAAAAGCTCTCACAAATCACAAAATGTTTAAAGTGCTCTAGTGACCACGCAATTATAAAACACATGAATTACACATTGAATCACCTTTAAAACAGACAGAGACTCACACATCACTATCAACCTACAACTAGCAGAATACAAGACCAATTGGGAGCGAGGGGCTTGTTAGGAGAACACAGTTTCAGGATCTCCAGACTTCTGGGAAGAGCGCGGCGGCCGTGCGCTGGCGTGCCATCACCTGCTGCTACACGGCGTGCCATCACCTGCTGCTACACGGAGTTCTTTTGATGACTTGGAAAAGAGGGACAGTTTTGTTCCCTTGTCTGAAGAATTTAATACATAAGGCTTGATTCTACTTTTATTATTAGATAATGGATTCTAATCTGTCGACCAAACAGCAAAAGTAATTGTCTTTACAAGCCTTTTATTTCTAGAACTTTTTTTTTTAAACGTGTTACCTGTATTAGTAACGTCTGCAGCACATACTAGGTACACTTATTATGGGGAATTGGTATACGCACCTCACATATCTCAATTCTTTTTTGTCTCCATCCTCCCCCTTTCTGGGGGCAGCACAGGATTCATTTATCTTGTAACTCCTTACAAGGATAATTATCAGACTAACAGCCAGACTAACAGGCCAAGAAACAAACACATCAAATGACTCTGCTAAATCAAGGTATACTTTTTGATACACCGCCCATGTTGGATTACAAGAACTTTTCTCTCTTTTTCCAATTCTGTCTTTTATTTTGTACTTTATATATTGAATTTCTCACATAAGAGAATGTGTGATACTTAATCTTCCAGGTCTGATTCACTTCACTTCTCACTGTAGTCTCAAAGTGCATCCGCTTTCCTACAACTGACTCAAGTTTACCCTTCCTTCTTACACAGCAGGGCTCCACCGCTCACGCTTTCTGTGGGTGGACACACAGGCTGTTCCAAGGAGCAGCTGCTATGAATTGTACTGCTGTACACATGGTGTGCATACATCACTGTGGTGTGATGCCCCTGACTCTCTTGGTGAGGATACTTAACGGGAATTAGCGGGGCCCACAGAAACTCTAGTTTTAGTTTTGTGAGGCGTCACCAGTGGCTGTACCAGTCTACTCTGCCACCAATAATCAAGAAGCATGTCTTTAAAGATACAGTGCCCTTTCAGAGAAAAGCAGAACTGAAGATCAGTCCGACGTAGGGAAACAAAGCTGAAAAGGTGTCGGTGGGTGAGCAGATCACAGATACGCAACCTTCCAGGACTGTCTCCTCCTGGGTAGAAATGGAAGCGAGTATTCAACAGCCTAATTTGAAAATCCTGTACTTTTAAGACAAAAGTAAAAGGAATAAAAGAAAGTACTAGAAAATTCATTTTTAAAAATTTACCTGAAACCTCTACTTCCTCAAAGGCTACAGATGTTATTTATAATTGACATGAAAGAAGGACTATTCCATAAAACAAAGGTGTGAATTTGCCCAGTGTGGTGGGACATGGCCAGAATCCCAGCCCTCTGGGAGACTGAGGTAGGACCATTCCAAGGTCCAGCCTAGCCTAGGCAACAGTGAAACCCCATCTCAAAACAAAGAGTAAAAAAATAGGCTTAGAACACAGCTCACTGCAAAGACCCAGCCAGGGGCCAATCCTTGGCAGTGCAAAAAAACCAAAGTGATTATCAGCAAAAACTATGCCATCTGAAAACAGAAACTTATGTATAATTCTGCAGTGATGAGAACTTAGTATTTCTGGAAGCCAATCTGACAACAGTTTCAAAAGCCTATACATTTTGATCCAGAAAGTCTACTTAATGGAATTTTGTCAAAAGATAAGTATGTCCAAAGTACAGAGGAGCACAAAAATTCACCCACAAGTTTCTTCAAGCAGTTTTGTTTATAACAGCAAAATATTAAAAACAATTCAGAGTAACAACAGAAGACAACACTCATAAGAATGTGACATCATTTAACATTATACGGAAAGTACTTATGTAAAAATATCCATGGCGCTGTCTAGCAATATCAACAACAACAGTATTTTTAACGTTATTGCACGCTTTATGATCTGACGTTCAAAACTCCTGCAGATGTCCAGAAAAGTCATCACAGCGTGAGGTGACGATAACTGGATTGGGAAAGAACCACAAGTGATTTTCAAAGTGGCATGTTCTGGGTGTGTTGACGTTTTCAATGCTTCTATCTTTCTAGTGTAACCCAATGGGTAAAAGAATCGTGA